GATGCTGAGTGGGCCAAACACCGGAAGAACGACAAACCGGAAAAATTGTCGGAAGAAGAGTGGGAGGATTTGAAGGACATGGCAACAAGTACAATGTGCCTATGCCTTGCAAATAATACTCTTCGGGAGGTTCTCGGTTTGACGGACCCGGTGGATATTTGGGACAAGTTGGAGAGCCGGTACAAGTTGAAATCGTTGACAAGTAGGCTATACTTGAAGAAACAATTGTTTGTTATCCAAATGGCGGAGGAAGCTAACTTTAATGGACACTTGGATGAATTCAACAAGATTACAACAGAGTTGGAATCCATTGATGTGGAGATTGAAGAGGAGGACAAGGCGCTGCTTTTGTTGGCTTCATTGCCTTCATCTTTTGACAACATCGTGACCACGCTTTTGTTTGGAAAAGAGACCTTAAAATTTGATGAAGTAGTTGCTGCGTTGTTGATGAACGAGACTCGGCGAGGTGGCAACGGGGTATCAAATGACGGTCAAGCTTTGGTAGCAAAAGGAGCTGGTCGGGAACGAGGACGGTCTAAAGAGAGGGGCGGCGTGTCCCAACGCTTCAAATCGAGTATTAAAAGCTTTCGGTGTTACTACTTCGATGAAGAGGGTCATTTAAAAAGGGATTGTCCAAAGAGGAGGAAGGAAAAGAAGGACGGGAAAACACCCGTGACTGCGGTTGCAGAAAGTTCGAACCAAGCAAGTGAAGAAGACTTGTTTTTGGCAACCACAAAGAGTCTAGGTAAATCGGATTGCATATTAGATTCGGGTTGTTCGTTTCACATGTGTTCAGTTAAGGAACAGTTTGATACGTATCAAACTTGTGATGGGGGTGCTGTGAAGATGGCAAATGGTGCACGGAGCAAGATTGCAGGGGTCGGAACAGTGCAAGTTCGCATGTTTGATGGCGTGGTGAGAACATTAACTGGAGTGAAACATGTACCGGGTCTAAAAGGAAATTTGATTTCATTGGGGGCTTTAGATTCAGAAGGCTGCCGTATTTTTGTTCAAGGTGGAGTGTTAAAAATTTCTAGGGGAGCAATGGTGGTAGCAAAAGGAGTTTTGTCAAAGGGCTTGTATAAACTTGTTGAAAAAGATTTGACACGGAAGGTGCCAGAAGGAAAAATTACAAGTGCAACGAGCGGAGCATTTGCATTGAAGAAGCGGGTGACGTTTGAAGCTTCTCCAGTTGGTGGAAACTGTGACCTCGCCGGAACGAGCGAGGTGGAGCCGGACCAAGTTTTATTATTTAATCAAGGTGGAGTTTGTTGAGGTATTTTGATTAAATAATTGAAACAAAAAAAAGAAAAAAAAGATGTAACTTGGTGGAAACTACCAAGAAGTGGCAGGAGAGCCTTTAGGAGTTTTGTTTTCTTTCTCTTGGAGGTGTGAGCTAGATTATTCCCCACTATTGTGTATTTGGCTATTTAAAAGCCATGCAACAATACCGTAGGGAGGGGAAGGAAAAAAGAGGAAGGTTAAGAGAGATGTCTACACAAGATATCACCAACATTGTGTGAGTGAGCGTAGGGAGTAACTGGTTTTAGTTACTCGAAAAAATACATCCGGGTGTAGGGTGTGTAAAGTCTGTTTATAAGTGTCTGGTATTTAGCACTTGTAAACAGGAAGAGTTTTTTGTGTATCGTTCTAAAATAGTGAAAATATAAGTTCTCTCTCATATTTTCTTCTTGTATAGTGTGTTATTTATTTTTCACGTTTTTGATATTTTAATAGTAATATCAACTCCCGAATGCTCATACAACGAGTATAAAACTCAAGCATACAGAGATTATGATACACAACGATCTTATGCTTGGGTAAATGACGTGTTTATCATGATCAAAGCTCTCAATGTAATCAAAAAAATTGTCTTTATATCATCTCTATATGTTGGGGGATGATAGGAGTAGTTAGGCTTCAAAATGATTGAAAATAAAATTTAGGGAAGTTACAATTGCTTAGTAATCGATTAGTCGAAGCTAGTAATGGGCTACCATGCTAGAGACTTTCAACCCTTTAAAGCTAATTTAACAATTGAACTTATCGATTAGCTCGAACCTAGGTCACATACTGCGAATTCGAGTGCACTGGGAGCGCGGATGCGAGACCGTGAATGCGTCACAATTGTAAAAAAATATGAGTGCGGATACAACCTAGGTTGCCCTATGTTTAAAAGATTAAAGTTATTTATATGACATGTTATATTTTATTTTTAATATATCAACCCTATATTTCAATAGGAAAAATGGTGTCACGCTCAAACACCTACTATTATACTAGAAAACTACGTACAACACATTTCGTTCCATTTGATTCTTTAATTTAGATTGTCAAATGATTTTATCTTTCTCTATATATTTTCATGTATTATATGATAAAATAATACAACCATGTCATATTTTGTTTTTATAAATCTTGTCTTCCGTTTTTAATTATATAAATTTTACTCTCTCCACTCGAAATTGAATTACTCATTTCAGTTTACGAGACTAGACCAACTATTTTTTTCAATTCAATTTATTGGTATATGCAAAATTAAAACTTTTCTTCAAAACAAGAAGTGACATTACTATTTCATTCAAAGTATTATAAAATGAGTAGTGAAAGTTGAGCAAACTAGCTTGTTTCATAGAAATCAAGAAAGTTAATGACATTTTTTTGGATAACATATTAATATAATATTGAACTAATGTGCAAAAATGCAAACTAAGGTGTTGTTTGTTTTTTCTGCAGAAAAAGGTCAGCAGTCTGCAGACCACATCTGCACACATATGCAGAAGAAGAGTTGGACCAAAGGTCTGCAGTCTGCAAGAGGAAGACTGTTTGTTTTTTAACTTCTGTAGATTTCTTAAATAAATTGAAATTAAAAATAAACAGATTTTTAAAGCAATCAATATTTTTTAAACATTTAAATTTAATCAAGAGTTCTACAACACTGAAATAACAACAATAACATTTTTTAAAATAACAATTTTTCAAATAATTTATTTCGCACTTTGCATTAAGTGCTCAGCAATTTTTTAAATAATTTATTCCGCACTTTTCAAATAATTTATTCCACACATTGCATTAAGTGCTCAGCAATTGAACTACTACAACAATCTTTAGCAACAATTCATAATAAATTGTTGACTATTGTATAAAAAAAGAGATTAAAAAAATGTAAAAAAAACATTGTAAAAAAATTGTACAAATTGTTGCCGGCAGGGATGAGAATGTTCAGAAATGTAAAAAAAACATTGACTACTGCACAAATTGTTAACAACAAAAAATGTAAAAAAAATTGTTAAAAAAGAGATTAAAAAACAAAAAAAAAGTGAAAAAACAGACTTGTTGCTAAAGGGATGAGAATCGGATGAGATGGACGGAAGGGATGAGAAGAAGCCGGCGGGGATGAGGAGAAGGAGGCGTCGCCGGCGGGGATGAGGAGAAGTCGGCGGAGGGAGACGATTGGCTGGGGAGGGGGGAGACGGACGGCTGGGGAAGATGATGAGAAGCCGGCTGAGGGAGAGACGAGTCGCCGGCAGTGGTAGAGACTCTGACGGTAGAGGGTCGCGCACAAGGCCGGACGGAGAGATCAGGAAGGGAGGCATATGGATAGGTTTTGAGATGGATCGTAATTGATGAAAAGACTTGAGAAGCTGTTGGTTTTATGTCTGCTTGAAAAAAATGTTTGAAAGACATTTTTAAGTGGTTTGTCTTCTAAAAAACAAACAGTCTGCGCGTCCCTAATGTCTGTCCGAGTCTGCACGGCCGGACATAAGTGGTTAGAAGTTCTTCCCACCAAAAAACAAACACCCCTAAGACATGGATCTCCAAAGAAATCAAGCATCTAAAACAACACCGCAAATCAAAAATGGATCGTGCATGATGAGAACAACTTATACAGAATACGATAAATTACAATTTATCTGATTCACCGGTACTACCAAAAAAGTCTCATACTTAAGTTTCTGTTATTCATCATAAAAATAATCGAGGAAACAGCAATGATCAAAGCAGGCTGCATAACCTAGCTCTCCCAACAAAATAAACATCTGCCACAATTGCCAAATACAGAGCCCTACGCAATGCAATACCCCAACCATGGAGCTTGCGGCTCCAAGTTTCAACCAAATAAAATGCACCAAAGAGGTCATGTATGCTAATAGGACCAAAATGTCAATAACACAAAGCATGATACTATGCCTTGAAAGAAAGTCATATACACCGTGTATATGACTTTCTTTTAATGCATAGTTTCATGCTTAGTGTTATTGACATTTTGATCCTATTAGCATACATGACCTCTTTGGTGCATTTTATGCACGTGCAAGCCTTGTTTTTAAGTCATAAGCCTCATGTAGTAGGATAGGATCGGCTTTCAGCAAAACACTCAGTAATGATTCTAAAAGTTACATTGCAAACAAATTTGTGACCTTGCCCAAAATTCCCAAACAAAATCAGTGAAGATTCTTGAAGTCGTTACATCACAAACACATATGTCACCTTCTCCTTGAGAGAGACTCGTTCAGATCCTCATGAGAGGACTGGAAAAGCTCTATATAACGACTACCTAGCATCATCCTATCCTTTGCTAGTGCTGCCTTTGCATCCTCAGGATTTGCAAACTCCACAAATGCTTCTCCAGTTGGCCTCCCTTCGAGATTATGCGTAATATGAACTGAATCCTCTGATAAAACAAAATCTTTGAAGAAATCAATAATATCATCCTTTTCAGCTGAATAGGGTAGTCCCCTCATTCGCAGAACGGCAGTCATTTCAGTTAGGTCCTCCCCTTCTGATGTTTTCTGCAATACTCTGGTTTCAGAACAAGTAGAGTTAAATGACACTCCATTTCAAATGGGGCATCCACACAAGCTATAAGTAATGAGTCCTTCAAACAAATCTTTACTAAACAGATGCTGTAGTTCGAACTTACACTACTCTACTGATGTCTAAAGGACCCATCCAGATCACAAGTTGTTCCTTTGTGAAGACATTTTTGGGACATTTATTACATGTAACAAAAAGAGTTGAATAACTTTCCAAGTACACAATTTCCCAGCACTATACAGAAGAAAGAACATGATGGGCAGGTTTACTTAAAGTAGATGCCATATAATCTTTGTCCCATGAAAAGAAAATAAACTAGTGTTTGGGAGCTAGCATTTCATTTCAATTAAAGCATTTCAATTTCAAAGTTTGAATTCTTGAATTTCAAATGACAAGGTGAGATGTATGGATTTCAAATTGAGCTTTGTTATTAATGAGAGAAATTTGATTTAAATCAAAATTCAAATTTTTTAAGTATCCCAAACATGGAATTTAAACCAAATCCGGATTAGAAATCCAAATCCAAGTTGCCAAACATACAATAAAGGAATTTATTGATTATAAATGAGAGCACAGTAAGTATGATTGAAACGTAATCTTATGCAGATAACCAAGTGTTAGTTTTTATACAAAGGAATTGCCATAAGGCATGTTTGGATTTCTCAATATTTGGTTGACTCTGAAATACGGTGTGAAATGAAAATACCACAATTGGACTAATGTTCTATGCTAATGTCACTCTTCATCTCACCCATTACTCATTTTCTTCTTCATACATGATCAACGCTTCTCTCCATCCTCCATGGAGCCTACTGCCATCCCACTACTTTGTCTTCATAGGAAATGATTAATTACGGGCACTTTTCTTTATCTTTTTATCTTAAAATCTAGGGTTTGGAATGGTAAAATACTTATATACTAATATCAAACTTTTTCTTTTTTGTACTGAAAAACCGGGATCTTCCTCTTCTAGAAAATGTAAAACCATCATATTCATTATTCTTGTACACGAATCTGGTATTTTCTTACATTAGGAATGCGAAGACAGAGGCTAACAACATCGAGGACAAGTTTGGGCATAATCCTACCAAGGTTGAGATGAGGCTAATGTGTAATTAAATTTACATCTTGCAAATGACGAGCAATTTCTGAAACAAAGGTGTGGAATTAGGTGGCTGGTAGAGTGGGAGTGTGGGACTTCAGAAAAACAGCTTATTTCCATCAGATTGTTGCATGTATCAGGGGAGAAAATCGAGAAATCAAGATATATGAGGTCATGAAAACTTAAGGAAATCAGATAAGTGAGCCTAACTGTGCAATACTTCTCTTGCATATTCTCTGAGATAGTCCCATAGATGATATAAAGGTTACTGGGCTTCCAGGTAATATCCCATCTTTGATTACTGAGCAAGCGGTTTATGATTTCATCAAATCCCTGATGGACAGGAGGATAGGAGGTCACTTTTTTAGGGAAGATCTGATGTCGCTTGTCCTCTAGTTCTTTCATGGACCGATCGATAAATTCTGTCAATTGGAATGATTACAGGTCCATTACTGTGTTATGTATCTAGTACGATCATGTGTTGTGTATCTAGTACAATCATTACCAAACTAGTGAGAAAGGCTGCTATTTTGCTATGTTGGAAAGTGGTTTACTGTCAATGGCAGGGAGAATGGTTTTTTTTAACCACGTCCATGACTTCATGCCTTTGTCCTTGTTGCAAGATTTTTGATTCCCCTAAACGCACAGTATGCACTATCAAAACCCTAGAAAATATGTTCAATAAATTCCTATAGGGTGACATGAAGTATGAGAAGAAAATCCATTGACCATCTTAGGGTGAATAGTATGGTGAGGGTGGAGAGGATTATAGAACCACTAGTGGCTTTTCAAATGATTATAGTGAAAGTTCAAAAAAAAAGACTTTTGGGACTAGTGTGATGATTTGTGATCAAAGCAAAGTATTGTAAGAATAAACACCAGTACACCACTAATACTGTGAGGCTTCAACTCATGTGACTTGCAAAATTTTAAATCACAAAAATCCTTTTACGAGTTGTTGATGTGTGATGCTTCAACTCGATATGATTTGAAACTGGTAGGCTTGTCATGAAGGATTGTATATAATTCTACAAACACTGAAAGGTAGATGTCTCTCAGATTGCATTTTTAGGAAGCATCACTGATAAGATGTAAAACCATCATCCACGGAATCTCATGGGGACTACATGTGGGGTGAAGAAGGGCTTAGGTCATCCATGGCTTGTAATTGGGAAGAACAACACTCTAAGGATATTTACAATCAAAGCACTCAACTTCATGTCTCAACAAAAAAACAGTAATAGAGAGTAACCGGGAAGAGAAGGATAAATCATGTGTCCTCTAGAGCATATTGGTCTTTCCTATTTATAGAGGAACTTAGGGATATGAGCGCATAGGGTAGGTGGTTGGCAGCTTGAACCGTCCAAATTTACTGAGCTAAAATGCTTAACAATTCATGCATCTTTTCCACTTGAGATGGAAAATTAATTTAGGGAACATAACTATTAGTAGCAAAGTATTCATTTAATTTATTAAGAGGAGCAATTATCCTGGGAAACAAACTAACCAGGGGGGGAAATAGTCATTTTTCTTACTTTCCCCCACACCAATGAAATGGAAGTATATTCTAAAAATGAGTTCTTTTTTTAGTTTCGAAACAGGACCCTTAGTGTAAGAGCCTAAGAAGAAATTGGGGTGAGGGGAGGGGGTGGGGAAGCATAAAGCAAAACTGACTAGCAATTAATAAGCAGAGGAAAATTAGCAGTTTTTCTTATCTTTTTTAGATAAATGTGAAAAGAAGAAAGTAATCACCTGCCCCTTGCAACTGTTTCTTCCAACTCTTCATGAGATGAAGAAAAAAGCTCAATATAGCGACTCCCAATTGTCATCCTATCCTTGGCCATTGCAGCCCTTGAATCTTCTGCATTTGCAAACTCCACAAATGCTTCACCGGTTGGCTTTCCCTCTGAATTAGCAAGTATAACAATTGAGTCCTGTAGAAGTGAAAAATTCTTGAAGAAGTCAATAATATCTTCCTTGCAAGCTGAGAATGGCATTCCCCTCATCCGTAAAACTCCAGTATGTTCTGCCAAATCTTCAGCAGATCTAGCCCTTGGAATAGATTCACTGCTTGCATCAGATACTTCATTAGCTATAGCTCTATAGTATTCCTGCTTGCTGCTTCTGAAAACTTCAACATATCTTCGCCCAATGTTCTTCTTGTTCCTTGAAAGAGCAAAATCAACTTGAAGGGGGTATCCAAGAACGCAATAAGCTTCCCC